GTCATTTTCAGCTGCTAGTTTAATAACTTTTTAACAGTGACCGGTCATGTGTCCAGCTTCAGTGGAACGAATCCTTTTGTCGCCTGGTTTTTGGATGAGGGATTTGTTCTAGATTGGCTTGGGTGTAATTTTGTAAACCGTTTCAGTCCTAAGTGCTCTGTCGTGCGAAGTTTTCAATATCCACTGAGAGCAATAAAGCCTCCTTCTTGTAATTGTTGTGTTCTTTGTTCCTACAGCCTCGGAAGGGCTGTGCATATTCTACCATCATAAGTTGCACAATGTCACATTACATGTTGATCGAAATAAATATATAGGCGCTAAACATGTCGCCATGGCGAGCACCTGCAGTGACATACTGCTCACATAAAATGCGATTACCCTTTGTAAAACATTGTTGCTAAACATGATCCAATAAAAGTTAAATTCCCTCCACAAATACTTATGTAACTTTGCTGCATTAACAATGTATGATCAAGTTTTTACTTGTTGAGACAATGACTGTTTTTACATATGTAACAAACTTAGTCTAGAATAACTAAAACTCAAACAGTGCTAAATATTCTTGCATATTATTTTGTCATTACTCTTCTAAAAAACATGGTGTGATTCAAAATATATGTACGTGAATAGCTTCACTATAAATAAACTTAACTATTCAGAAAGAAACATGAGCATATGTTTGAAACTTTCATGATTCTAAAATTCACAATTTATCTAGTCAGAGTAATAACAAATTATCGCAGTGATACATCGAAATCCATTTTAAATACAAAGTTAACTGATACCTATTAATACAACAGCTTGGTGTTTATATTGTCTCAACATGAATATTCTCAGTATATATATAACTTTCGAAGTTAAGCGTGTTTATTTGTACGATTGTTTACGCGCAAACCTGCACAATGGGACATCTCTGCTGTACCCATTGCAGGGTCAAGCCCTAAACTTTAGCTTTATAATTGGGCTCAAAATATAGAAATTCAAGGCCATAAAATTATTTGTCTGGTGAACTTTAAAATGCTTCTTGGTAATAAGCACAATAGGCATTTGTTCTAAAAAAGGAACTTGAACACTTATTTACATTAGAATACTAGCTGGAGTACTCGTCCCCTGGACGGAAGTTATTAAATTCGTGATTAATGAAAGGTTGTCTTAGGACATGAAAAATTGCTTCCCTTATATGTAATTGTAAAAAACGCAAAAACGCCCATAAAAATTGCAAAACACAAAATGTGAAACCGCAAGTTTGCAAGTATCTCCGCATGGATTCAACAAACCTTCATACCAAATTTAATGAAGATTCATAAACAGGGGGCAAAGTAGTGGTGAAAATGGCAAAAACGCCCATAAAAACCGCGAAACTGGAAATGTATATGTATCTCCCCATGAACTCAATGAACCTCCATACGAAATTTGGTGATAATCCATTCACAACCTTCAAAGTAGTTACATGGACATACAACAAGCAGTACTATTATATTTATATAGATAAACAATAATAGGGCAACATACTTAGACGAGTAAAGTGTCGTATCTTGATGCTGAGACCAACTTTTATTTGGTTTGGAGCCCTCTTTTGGGTTCAATTTCACCAAAAAATTTTTAATAACTTGTCATCAACTCTTGGCGCTTGTCTGTTAGAAGATGTCATCACTCCGCCATGCAAAAAAAAGAAAGAAATCAACTGCATGAAAGTCGAGGTTATATTCTCTCTGTCCCTCAGGCAAATGTTTATAGTGGCCCACTTCGTTCACGTCAGATTTCCAGGCTGAATAAGATAAATCCTGAACATTATTTGTCTCAAACCATAGCTGGAGAAGACAAGTGGTATGTCACGGTAATATTATTTATGTTGAAAAAGGTAAAGCTCTTCCTCAAATAATTCCCTAGATACAGAGAGTTTAGGGTTATTAAGAATATCATATTGCTTATCACTGACTCAAGTCCAATCTAATCAAAAGGACTTGATACCATAATAGTACGCCACTGCGAAACCTAGCAATATGAAACCACACACGTGACAAAAGAAATAACCTGCTGTTCTGAACTCTCATCTAAGGCCCTACTTAGTGACTTTAACATCAAAAGTATACTCACATTACAAATTCAAAAAATGTGTATGATTGAAAAATAATCACATTTTTACACCTTAGCTAATAATGTACATTATTATCTCCAATGGTCTCCTATTGTTTGCGCCAACCGTCCATAGCAAATTTGGAGTATGTGTTGGTAGACGTAAGTAGAAAGCTGAAATGTCTCAAACACTCATACCATCAACGCTAAATCCATTAAACATTGCTCTTAAAGGCTCCTGGGCTCTTTTTTTAGATGTAGTATAATACAAATAGTGTTCGTGTCAGCCGTTGACTTTTCATAAATCTTTTGCAAGATTGCATATTGAGATTCATGTGCACATTCAGTAATGACTGGCCCATTGCTATTTAGGGATTACTGACTCCATAATTTACGTACATAGTGCAATTACTGATAAATAATTATTCGGTGTTTTGTTTAACAAAATGTATTCATTGTCAAGTATTATTCCAATTTGTCGTTAAAACAATTAGATTATAAGCATTGAGTAAAAAAACAAGTTCGTGATACTCCATGTGTTAAAACTTCTGAGAACCATTATGTTTTCCAACACGCCCGTTTATATAAATCAATGTAATAATACAATTTGACACTGCCATTCACCTGAATAAATGCTGCGTTTCTGCTACTCATCCTCTCAAATACGTTCCAACAGGTGTCTGCTACAAGTTGCCTTCGTTGCATTTTCAAAAAACATGCAGCTAATTGATGATGATTTGGAGGCTGTGGTTAACACTTTTGAATTAATCCCTACAAATAGCCCCAAAAATGTTGTTCGGAGTAAACTATAACACATTTAGCTGTTAACAAAAGAAACCGTAGAATATGTTTATTTACAAATTTTTTTACATCACTGAACATTTACCTATGTAGACACTGGAAACATAAGACTCATACCGACAAGAAGACTTTAATAACTCTCTCGCCATAATTCTTCCCAGAATACACCACTTTGTCAAAATTATATTAATCACCTTGCTATTCTTAATAGTGGGTGAAATTGTCCTTATAACCCTCTTAAATTTACCACCAGTCGTCAAAATTACAGGGCTAAAAATTTGAGTACCAAGCTTTCTTTAAAGAGGTGTACACTTTTGTATCCCAGGTCTTAAAAATATTGATATCATGTAGAGCCGACTGCACAGACTTTAAAGATGGTGGTACTTTACATGAAGCTAAACTGTATGTTGTTAAACTCTTTTTTTATCTGTTACCAAAAGAATTTGGGGCACTTTTCCACAATCCAGTCAAGACAGCCTTTGTCACGATCCCCAACAGCACTTTCACTTGAATTGAATATTTTTATCTATTGTACTTTCACGTTCCCAATATTTTAAGCCAATCTTATTCTTGCTTATGCCGGCTTTTCATCCCTCCAAAATAATTTCCACACACATCTATTTGACTATTTTTTTTTTCGGTGGTGCGCTATAATAGTGATGGTTGATTCCCAATATTCAGTCAAATAAAAGCAGCCCAAGAGTTAAAGATGAGTACCTCTGACTATACATCTTCCCTCAAGTCTATCTATTCAAAATTAGAGACAATTATGTGCAGCCATTCATTTAAGTAAAATGGATTTATAACGGACAACCTGATGGACGATTTCTTTGTTGGTGGCGACGTTAATATGTTTTCGTCGATTTTCTTCGGGTCTGAAATAGATCCATGAAAGTGCAATAAAACGTTGTCTCCAACAAAAACACCTTCCATTGGGCTGTCCACTATAAATCCATTTTACCAAATACTCCACTTGCTAGCCCTGATCTTAAAAAAATTATTAGTGTAGCTTTGCGCGAAAATTCTGAAAGAGACAAACAATATATATATAAATTATTACACACACACACACATATATACTACTTTAATCACAAAGCTCTTTTGAATTATACTTAAATTTTGCCATATTAATTTTTCTTGTATAAATGAATTAACTAGTGTGTTCTTAGTTTTGTTGCCTTAATCTTATCTTAATTCTTTCATTGTTTTTTTAATTTTCATTTCACGCTGTAGCAATGCCCTCATACGCAACTCAAACACTGCCTTTTTTATACGAAAGCTATTTTCTCTTCTTCCGGTTGATTTTGGGCTTAAGACGCTAAACATTGGAACTTGGTACCCGCGTGGGCATCGCGCAGTTAGCCCATTATGTAGCTTTGCACTTAAGAAAAACCAAGAAAATTAATCGTTTCCTAATTTTTACATTCCTTTCACAAAGAAATCTGTGAGCATTATAATTATTTTACTTATAGCGAAAGCGCTAAAAAACTTCAGAACACTAGCATTATGAATTGTGAATTTATCAACAGTGGGTAAAATTAAGAAACATAGAAAAGAGAAAATCATTAGGCACAGAACAATAACAAAGAAACTGTCGACTACAAAGAGCCGGTGGGATAATATATATATAAAAAGCAGAGAGGTATGAGATAAATATTAAACAACTGAAGTAAGATATGAAAATTACAAGTAAGTTAACCAAAAACCGTAATAATAATAATAATGGATGATAAGGACTAGAATTAAATAAGATAAATAACAGTACTTGCAGTAAGGATATCAGTATTTGTCATGTTTAATAGTCTATACGATCACTTAAGTATAATTATTAATTAGTGACTAATATTTTGTATTACTAAATACTAAATAAATTATATCCTAACCTTTGGTTGCTAATTCAGAATCAAAATAGAGTCAATAAAGTCATGAACTGTATCACACCTACTATCACACCTTCTTACTAAAAAGTAAGTTCTCTCCGGAAGTCCATAAAAAACAACACCATAACAATACTATAACCTATATACTTTTGTTTTGCATACTAATGAAGACAAAGGAAATGTATCTGTAATCACAGAATAAAGAAAACACTCTCTAGCTCCAAACTCTATTTGAAGATTGTCAATACACGAAGATCAAGTCTAACCCAACAGCGAGAGCTTAGAAAAAGTTAACGAACCCCTTAAAAAAATAAAACAAAAACTTGGAACAGAATCAGTAAAACAGCTAACTTATATTGAAAATGCAAGCTATACTCTTCATCCGCAGAAATTCACCTTGTCACCTCTCAGAGATTATAAAAGCAACCACGCTAACCTCACAAGACACAACTATCAATTTTGATGCATCTAGCCTACTCACTAGTCCCGAAAATGATAGAACTCTCAAAAAACGCGTTCAACTAACAATCGCCATCATAATAAAGCTCATAACCTTTTGTATCAATACAAATTAGTTCCAATATGAAGATAAATACACTCAGTAACAAGAAAGACTAGTCATCATTGATTCATCAATATCATCAACACTTAGTAAACCTCTATAAGGCATATTTCGAACATAACGCTCTTCTCAGAATAGCCCTTTAAATCCCACAATTTGGCTCTGCCAAGTCGACAATACAATTTTACTATGACCACATATTAGTGTCTTCCAGATTTCATGAATCAAATGAATAGAAGAAGACACCAATCTCTCTTTCCTATAGGTAATGATTATCAAGCCACACAAGTTATATACCACAGGAATTTATAGGAAATCCACAGATACTAGTAAATACCTAGACTGTAAGTCAAACCACCTGAAAAGTGTAAAGACGACCGTGAGGACTGCCTAAGTTTTCAATGTGAAAAATATTTGCTTTGCAGATGGAAGAAAATCACATCACTACAGCCGCTCTTGATAATGGATGCCTAGAATACTTGTTCAAGAAGAAAATAAAGAAGGCAAGCATCAAGAATAAGTGAGAAGAAAACTTACAGACATTCACAGCCATATTACCCTATGTCCAAGATCTCTCCGAATATATAAATAGGATATGTAAAAAGCATAAGGTCAGAATATTATTCAGAAGCTACAACATAATTTGATTGCGGTAATTATACAACAAATCATCTAAAGGCTCAATGAAGAAAAAAACACCACTTACAATATTCTTTATGAATGTGGTTTCCAATAAGTTGTTGCAACAGTAGAAAAACAAAAATTAGAATTCAATAGCATAATAGACGAACAAGCCTCCGTAATACCGGTCTATATGCAATAGTCCAATATGCAAAAGAACAGGACCATACAATAAACTGAAAAAAATATTAAAATTATGGGATACGAACCACATACAAAAAAGGAAAGGTAAAATAGGCCTTCTGCTTTTAACTAATTGATAATATACTCAGTAAACCCATTACTGAAATCAGAAAAACCTGGTACCCCTCTTAAAAGCAACCAGATAAATTAGTTGATTCAAGTCCTAATGAGAGAGATCCAGGAGGAGTGGATATCACACCATCAAAAAGATGTAATTCCAGCTACTACAACCACATAAATGGTACTTCTCAGGTCTTCCCTGAAGACGGCAGCCAAAACGTATGATATAAACTAGTTAGTAATTAGTATACACTAATAAAAGCCCCCCATTGACACAGTGGTATATCTGTAGATTTATATTGCTAGAAACCGGGTTTCGATACCCGTGGTGGGCAGAGCACAGATAGTCCGTTGTGTTACTTTGTGGTTAACTACAAACGAACAAACACAAATAAAAACTTAATAAATAATTAATGACTAGACTTAGATAATTATCTAAGCCAGTCCTTCTCAACCTTTTCCAGTATCATTCAGCCCTATAAGTTTTTCACAAAAGCTCACTCACTCCAGTTCGAAAAAAGACAAAAAAGTACTAAATTAAAATGCAAAATTCTTTATT